GTTTCTGTTGCTGTGTCTCCATTTCACTAACATTTTCTTCTGGATATCTAAGCTTCTGTTAATCCTATTCAGTATAGTTTTCATTTCAGACATAGAAGTTTTCATCTCCCAGGGGTGGGGATTTAGCTCAGTGGTGCCCTTCCCATCTGGAACACACAAGGTCCTGGGTTTTCCCGGTACAGAAAAAAATTTTTTTTTCAATCTCCCAAAGTTTGTGTCTTTTTTATTTCATCATGCTTCTGTTTAATATTTTGAATGGGTACATCTTTTAAATATAGTGTTTGGGTTTTTTGTTTTGTTTGTTGTGAGGGGATTGAGACAGTTTTTAACTATGTAGTTCAGGCTGACCTCAAACTCCCAGCAATCTTCCTGCCTCATCCTCCCAAGTGTTGGATGACAGGTGTGCACCACCATGCCTGGTTTAAATACATTGTGTTTTGATGGCCTTTTCTGTGAAGTTCCACCTTTGTGTCAGTTCTGGATCTGTTTTAATCATGGATATTTTTTATTGTGGCTGGGAATTTTTGTTTAAATGTCAGAAATGATAAATTTTATGTCTTTGTATGCTAGATATTATATTCCTATAAATATTCTTGAGACTTATGCAGTTCAATGGATCCTTTCAGGTTTTGTTTTCAGGATATGTTAGTAGAACCAGACCTATTATTTCACACTACTTCTTGAATATTCTACCCAGTATCCTATGAATTCTGAGGTTTTCTATTCTGGCTGGTGTGTGTGGTCTTTCTCTTGGCCTGTAGGTTCCTCTTAACCCTACCCTGACCGGCACTCTGTTGATACTGGCATTGTCCTCTGCAGTGGAGTGCCCCCTCTGTGCCCTGTCCTCCAGGAACTGTGTCCTGGGAAACCCAGCTGCCTGGGCCCCCTCATCCTGTCAGCCCCACCCATTAGCTCAGTTGTCTGCTGGGCTCTGCCTGGGGCCTGGAGCTAAGGTGGTGCCTTGTGCAGGCCTTCTTTCCTGTTTCTCAAGGGAGCACTGTCTTTTGTTACTAGAGGTTCCATATCTCCAAAATTGTTGTTTAATTTGGGGGATTTTTTTTTTTTTTTTTTTTTTTTGCTTTTGTTTTTGGTGGGGAAACATATTTGGTTGTCTTAGTTTTTTTGTGATTTCAAACTTGAATAAATCTGTCCTTGTTACTCCATGTTGACTATAAGAGGTTATCTCTTTAGTCTATTTTGAGATTTTTTTTTAAATCTGAGATCTTTGATTTTTATATTACATATGCTTTACCACCTTGTTTTTTTATTTCCACTGTATTCCTTTTTCTCCTCAAAACACATTATCTGTCTGTTTGGAACGTTGGCTGGATTAATTTTGTAGCCATGAATGAAGCATACTTATAGTATGAACATTACACAAGATGATGGTGAGCAAGGTGTAACAGCATAAAGATGGATGTTTTCTCTAATATTGTGTGTGTGTGTGTGTGTGTGTGTGTGTGTGTGTGTGTGTGTGAGAGAGAGAGAGAGAGAGAGAGAGACTGCAGATTAAACCCAGGGCTTTGTACATGTTAGACAATATACAAACTCTACCCAACTGTGTTGTATCCTCGGCCGTCCTAATTTTTATTTTTTTATTTTTTTTACCCAGGATCGAACTTGGGTCCTTGTGCTTGCAAGGCAGGTGGTGGAACCACTGAGCTAAATCCCCGGACCCCCTTCTAATATGTGTCTCAGGATGTGTCATTCTTTTACTGTCCATACTGGGCAGGTGTGTCGCAAAGTCTAAGAATGAAATTGTAGGCAGAGGAGGCAGTTAAGGAGCAGTGTCATTTGGAAGTATAAGAAGAGAGAAAGCTCCCAGTAGTTGGGAGGGGTCTGGAAGAAGAGTTGTCAAGTGGGGATTTTTTGTCTAGGGTCTTTTATATTGAGGTTGCCACGTCCCTGGCCATAACAGACCAACATGGCTTAGTCTCTAGAGTTTGGGTGTGGACTGTCCACTCTCTAAGAAGACCTGTGGAGAAATAGAGCACACAGTGGCCGCACAGTAATCACACACTCTTTGACACGTCAGAAGTGTAATCGGGGAGAAAAAAGTAAAAGGGAAGAAGGCCTTGGCCGCAGTGGTCTCCTTCCCTGTGTTTGCTTTTCCACTCCTGAAGCTGACTCTTAAGCTTCTGTACAGGCTGACCCTGACTTCATCTTGGGCCCTGCCCCTTGCTGGCTGCCCATTTATAAGCTAAATAGCTAAGCTACCTCTCACAATTTGTTTGGCACTTGACACACAAGCTAGAGCTTGTTGACACTGATGGTAACTCACTACCTTTTCCAGCCAAAACAATTTGTTTGGTTCTCATAGTGTTGGTATGAGCACACTTCCCAGAACTGATTGAGGAGTACCAAGCACCACTGTGTTTAGAGCTGTTGTCATCTAGTCTTGAGGGTATGGCTGAAGAGTTCCCTTCAGGAATTAGATAAGTGAGGTTTTAACCAAAAAGTTTTATTTTTAACAACCAGCACAGAGCTATGCAATTGTTTACATTCTAATGAATTACAGCAGAACTTTTTTCCATTTCAGTGGAAAATACTCAACTGCATTATTCATTAATATGTAAGGCATCTCAAAACCTGTATTTTACTTAAAAGAAGAGCAAGACCACCTAAATTTTAATGCTTCCACTATATAAATCTATTTAAATCTTAATTTCTGAAACTTTTTCCTGTGTATTTTATGCAGATAGTATCAGTGCTACCCTAAAAAGATCATATAGAATACACATAAAAATGTGTTTTTACGTGATTTCATACACACATGGATATAATCACAACACAATACTTACTACTAAATGTGATGCATGCTGGTATTTTCTGTTTTGTTGAAAAATCTTTAGCAGTGACCCAATCATGAGTCAGAGCTCACAGTGTAAAATTCATTGTATGATGAGGTGCCGTATTAATAGAAAGTGGTGGTACTTAGATTATATGCTGTTCTGTTACTGAGCTTTACTTCCAAAATGAGTATGTAGTGTAGTTAGTAATATCTACCTTTATTAATAGTTTATACAGGGTTCTTATCTACATTTTTAGTCCTAAACTTTCTTTGCCCTAACAAGTAGGCCAGTAATAACTTAGAAGAAGAGGTAAAGGGGAAGTGAAAGTGTTTAAGATGTGGTATGCATATGTATGAAGATGTAGTATGCAGATGAATGCAGTTATTAAGTGTTACAAACATATATACTAATAAAAAACTTAGAAATTGTTCAAAAACAGCTGAGTGTGGTAGCCCATGCCTATAACCCAGCACTTGGGAGGCTGAGGTAGGAGGATCACCATGAACTGGAAGCCAGCATGGGCTTCACAGTGAGTTCAAGGCCAGCCTGAATTACAAAGTGAGACTCTTATTTTTTAAAATGTTTTTTGTTCAAAAAGTTGCCTCTAAGATTATCTTCTCGGTAATGATTGTCAAGTATTTTTTTAGGCTAAGGATTATGGGTGAGGCACGGTAAATTTCTACTAATAATATTAGCTTTGTATCCTCATTTACAATTTAGATAGCATTTCTAAAAGTTTTGTCATTTTTTTTCCACATCTTTCAAACAAGATTTACTATCAGTGCTGGGCATACATGCCTGTAATCCCAGTACATGGGAGGCTGAGGCAGAAGGATTGCCATGAGTTTGAGGCCAGCCTGCACTGCATAGTGAGTTTAAGCTCAGGCTGAACTACATAGGGAGACCCTGTCTCACAAAGATTTACTATCAGTAAGAAAGGTCCTAATACAGTAAAAGAGTTGTAGTGAATCAACTTTTTCAAGATACTAAATGGCTAAGGGGAGTTCAGTCCATTATTGGTGTTCTGTGAGCCATAAGAAATTTCAGTCTGTCCTTCAGTTCTATAGATCTGTGCTCCAAAAACATTCACTGTTGCATTTTCCACAGTAGGCCCCCTGATCACAGTAGGTTTCCTGGTCACTGAGGAGATGCAGGCCTACTGTTCCCTAGTGGTCTCTGCATGCTGGAAGAGCTGTCCTGTGGGCCCTGTTCTGTCCCAGCACTATGCACTGTGAATGTGAAAGTTATCTTCTCTCCCTCCCTCTCTTAAGTTGACCTCTTCTGATTTTAGAGTTAAGAATCCCTAATGTAGACAGGGAGTTCACACAGCTGGTTGCAATGTGAAAAGTAACATGTGATTTTTGTGAAATTATAAATTTTTAAATTTCTTCCTCAACAGATAAACATGATTAAAATGTTCATGTTTCTACTTTATACTCTCTAAACCTTTCCAGACTTGTACAAAATTTGTTGCTGGGTAATACGGTGGAAAGAATTGTGTGATCTAATGTTCAAATAATCTACTAGAGGACTTTGAATATAAAAATGTTTTCTTAATGTGTTTTCCAGATGACTGTGACCTTTTGAAATTGCCCCCCTACACTTAATTGTAAGACTCCTAGATTGGTGAAGTTGAGCAACAGAAATTATTGAGATAGAATATTTAAATTGAATAAACTAGAAGAAACTCATAAAAAGCTATTTAGTACTAGAATAGAAATAATTTATAGAAATTTAGTTCCCAAGTGCTTTGGTTAGGAAATGGTGTTAAAATACTGTTATAATAAAGAGTTACAAGCTATTAAAATACTAGTATCTATGTAACAAACTATGCTGAATATAATTTTAATATTTCTCTGACTCAGAAGGTCATGAGAATCTAGATATACTGGTTAAAAGTATTATACATATCATTTTAGTATTTTATACAGTTTTTTTTCTTTCTTTCTTTTTTGGGGGGGATACTGGGGATCAAACTTGGAACCTTGCCCTTGTGAAGCAGGCAGTGGAACTACTGAGCTAAATCCCTGGCCCTTGTAAAATATTTTTCTTAATGATATATACCAGTATTAACTGATTATCCTTAATTATATTAGCACTTGTCATGATACTATGTAGTTGTCACATAGCTACATTTGTCAAAGCTGCCAACAACTTGATGTATTTAAGGAAACAAAATTCTGATTGATTCCCATCTGTTTCTTTCAGAAAAGTCTCCACTCACATCATGGATTTTAGAGACCAGATTACTGCATTCCAGAGATCATGGTAACAGTATAGGAAGTATGCTGAATTTCTCATTTCTGCAAGTGGCCATGACTATTGAAGAAAGAAATTTTTTTAGCTACAGCAAAATCACTTTTGGTCCCTTTTATGGAAATACGAATTTTCTTTCTAAGTCTCAATAGCTTTTTGCTAAAGGTATGAACACACAAAGAGCTTATCTGGTTAGGCAGATGCACCTTGCTGAGAATGTCTAGAAGAGGCTCTGCTCTCCCTGCCCGTGTCCACTGGCTGCTGCTGGGTCTGGCTCTGCTCTGCAGCCTGGTGTTGTTCCTGTACCTTCTGGAATGTGCCCCTCAGACCGATGGAAATGCATCTCTTCCCGGGGTTGTTGGGGAAAATTATGGTAGAGAGTATTATCAGGCCCTCTTACAGGAGCAGGAGGAACATTATCAAACCAGGGCAGCCAGTCTGAAACGCCAGATTGCCCAACTAAAGCAAGAATTACAAGAAATGAATGAGAAGATGAGGTCACTGCAGGAGAGAAGGAACATAGGCGCTAATGGCATAGGCTACCACAGTAACGGCGAGCAGGCCCCAGGTGACCTCTTAGAGTTCCTTCACTCCCAGATCGACAAGGCTGAAGTCAGCGTAGGAGCCAAGCTGCCCAGTGAGTACGGGGTTGTCCCTTTTGAGAGCTTTACCTTAATGAAAGTTTTTCAGTTGGAAATGGGTCTCACCCGCCATCCTGAAGAAAAGCCGGTTAGAAAAGACAAACGAGATGAATTGGTAGAAGTTATTGAAGCTGGATTGGAGGTCCTTAATAATCCTGATGAAGAGGATGAACAGGAAGATGAGGAGGGTCCCCTTGGAGAGAAACTTATATTTAATGAAAATGACTTCATAGAAGGTAATATGAAAAATATATTGGTAAATGGTTATGTAGAGAGACAGTATGCCAGTATTTGTGCTTCCATGTCAGTCACTACCCAACTATTGAAACATTTTTTACCCCTTTCATTCTACCAAGAATTTCAAGTAGATTTTTGAAAAAGGTGATAATGAAGTCATAATAAAAAATAGGCTGGCGTGGTGGCACACGCCTGTAATCCCAGCACTCAGGAGGCTGAGGCAGAAGATCGCTGAGTTTGAGACCAGCCTGGGCTACATAGTGCGTTCCAGGTCAGTCTCAACCACATAGTGAGACCCTGTCTCAAAAAACCAAAAAAAAATAAAAAAATAGAAAATAAGGGGGCCGGGATTTAGCTTAGTGGTTCTGCTGCCTGCCTCGCAAGCACAAGGTCTAGAGTTCAATAACTGGTGCCAAAAGAGAGAGAGAGAGAGAGAGAGAGAGAGAGAGAGGGAGAGGGAGAGAGTTCCAGGTCAGTCTCAACCACATAGTGAGACCCTGTCTCAAAAAACCAAAAAAAAATAAAAAAATAGAAAATAAGGGGGCCGGGATTTAGCTTAGTGGTTCTGCTGCCTGCCTCGCAAGCACAAGGTCTAGAGTTCAATAACTGGTGCCAAAAGAGAGAGAGAGAGAGAGAGAGAGAGAGAGAGAGGGAGAGGGAGAGAGAG